CATGCTGGGGCTCCGCACAGCTCCTGGAAGCAGCAGCACTCCGCCTCCTACGCATAGGGGCAGCCAGGGGGCTCCGCACACTGCCCCGCAGCTCCCTCTGGCCGGCAACCACGACCAATGGGAGTTGCAGGGGCAGCGCCTGCAGACGGGACAGCACGCAGAGCTGCCTGGCTGCACCTCCGCATAGGAGCCGGCGGGAGGACATGCCACTGCTTCCAGGAGCTGCTTGAGGTAAGCGTCGCCTTGAGCCTGCACCCCTGACCCCCTCCTGCGCCCCAACCCCCTGCCCCAGCTCTGATCCCCCTCCCGCCCTCCAAACTCCTCGGTCCAAGCCCGGAGCACCCTCCTGCACCCCCAACCCCTCATCCCCAGCCGCACCCCAGAACCCGTACCCCCAGCCAAAGCCCTCACCCCCTCCCGCATCCCAGCCCCCAATTTTGTGAGCATTCATGGCCCGCCATACAATTTCCATACCCATATGTGGCTCTCAGGCCAAAAAATTTCCCCATCCCTGCTGTAATCTTATCTAAAAAAAGATATCTTATGAGTTATTAATAAAAATGATTAGATTATCAAGGAAATACCTGTCTGAACCGTCATTGAAGTATTGGTCTTCTTACCACAGGTTAAAACCTCCACAGATATTATATATTCCTGGCCGGGAAGCAAATGTTCATATGCTATGCTTGTTTTATATGTAGTGGTTTTTTTCACCTCTTCATCTCCCAACAGAGAAGTTGTATAAGCTATACCGCCACCTTGAGGTGTCCAATTGAATTGTATCATATCACTGGTTACAGTCTCAAGTTGTATGGAAAAATCAAGTGAAGCTATAAACAAAAAGATCAGTTTTCTGTAAGTGACACATTTACCCACATCTGTGATGCTAAAAATAAATACTTATGAAAATTAAACATTGTTATTAAATGATTTCTTATGTAAGGACAATTTAATACTTTGGGGATTTTCTAGGCTAGTGTTAAGGGACAAAGATGTACATGCATGTCTCCCATTGAATCAAACCATAGCTCTGTGCACCTACCTGAGGGTAGAATCCAGCCCCAAGCTCTTTGTCTCCCTCAAAGCTGGAAGGTAACTATTTCCTCTAAAAATGTAAATTACATTCTAAAATATTAACTTGCATTATCTGATATATCCAAAAGAAAGTTGTATTCTCCTTTTTTAATCTCTCACCACAAATTAAAGATGGCTTCGCTGATAACCATAATCAGAAGCGGACAGATGGCTCTAAAACAGACTCCGATCTCTTAATCATGGCAGATTTTTTTAAAAAGCAGTCAAGAACCCAAAAAGCTCAGAACGAATTCTATCATGCTAATGTGTATACAGATTGTGGTCATGGACATTGCGCAATTGTGCATTATAACAACAGTCACAGCTCCCAACATGCAGCTTTATCTGGGCAGATAGACATTTTTGTCCACGTCAAGCCCTTCTGCACTCACTGTGGCTCTGCATAGGTTCAGGGAGGGACTCCCGTCACAGATCTAATCATGCATTCTAGCCTTAAACATAATTCAAATAAATATAGCTTCTATAGGATTTTTGGATCATTCTTTCCTAAAGACACATTTTACTAGAGATGTTACTTCCCAGTTAAAGTACCTAGTAAACATAGAATTATATTTTCATAGCTTATATCACAATTTCTTTTTCTCTTACTGTGCAATATTAATTAACTCACTGCAAGCTCCTGATGTGGCAGTTAAAATAGGATTTGTTGTAGACCCTGTAACTATAACTGTAGACCTTGTCGTCCTGTTGAAAGTCTCTGGAGATGTTGAAATCGTAGACCTGTATGGAGATGTCACAGGGATTGTAGAAAATGTTGTTGGCATTTTTGTGGTTGAACTCTCAGAAGTAGTGCTGGGTTCCACAATCATAGTTACTCTGGTCGTATGAGTAGATGAGGTACCTGATGAACCTGTAAAAATTCTCTCTGTGGAAGAAGCTGTAGATGATAAGGATATTTGTGTGTTGGAAACAGATGAAGGTGTTTTTGTGGTGTCCACACTAGTAATTGTGGAAGGGGCTGTAGATATACCATTAGTGTCCATAGTAGAAGAAGGCCTAGAAGTGCCATTTGTTAGCACTGCATTAGACACAGGAGTTGCAGTGGACTGCGTCACAATCGTTCCTAAGGGAGTAGTCAGAGTTGCTCTGGAAGTATCAGCGGATGATATATTTGATGACCCTGTAGAAATTCTCTCTGTGGAAGAAGCCGTAGGTGATAAGGATTTTTGTGTGGTGGAAACAGGTGAAGGTGTTTTTGTGGTATCCACACTAGTAATTGTGGAAGGAGCTGTAGATATATCATTAGTGTCCATAGTAGAAGAAGGCCTAGAAGTGCCATTTGTTAGCACTGCATTAGACACGGGAGCTGCAGTGGACTGTGTCACAATCGTTCCTAAGGGAGTAGTCAGAGTTGCTCTGGAAGTATCAGCAGATGATGTATTTGATGACCCTGTAGAAATTCTCTCTGTGGAAGAAGCCGTAGACGATAATGATTTTTGTGTGGTGGAAACAGGTGAAGGTGTTTTTGTGGCATCCAGAAGAGTACTTGTGGAAGGAGCTGTAGATATATCATTAGTGTCCATAGTAGAAGAAGGCCTAGAAGTGCCATTTGTTAGCACTGCATTGGACACGGGAGCTGCAGTGGACTCCGTAGCAATAGTTCCTAAGCGGGTAGTTTCCAAGGATGTATTATTTACCGAATATGTATATGTGGATTTTGTAGCTACTGATGAAGATACTGGCAAAGTTACATGTGTTTCAGTGGTGGCAGGTGTTGAAAAATGTGTCTCTGTAGTTGCTATTGTGTCTGTGGTTGGATATATGAGTGATGTAGATTGTGGACTCAGCATTGGTAACGGAACTGTCGTGTTTATAGAAGTTGCAGGTGCAGTTTCAGATTTTTGTGTGGGGCTAATGATTTCAACAGATGGCTTTGATGTAGATGGCTGTCTTGATGGTGCAATTGTCACAGGCTCTCCAGCTGGTTCTATTATAGAAAAAATAAGGCAACATTAAAATCAGAGATGGAGAACATCATTTTTAAATCATACTGAAATGGAATTGCTTCTGCCAATCAAAGTTGCTGTCCATCTACCCAAGCACAGTCATGCAGGGCTAGATTGTTCCCTTGTCTTACTCAGCTAAGCAGGGGAATAAGGAGAAGTAGGGGCCACACACCCCTTTGCACAACCTCCCTGGATCTTGGGTCTGGGTCTCATGCAGAGTGCAGCCTCTGCTTTCTGGATCGTTGCCCCACCAAGAAAGCAGGTAGGGAATAGACAGAGTTTTGGCTCCACTGGCCCTCCTTACTGTTGAGAGTAGATGGCGAGCTGCCCTGGGGAAGTAAGCTCACCATTTCAAGAGCTGTAGTAACTGAATTTTCCCTGTAGCAAGATGAAACCAGGGCAGGAATTATGAAGCTCTGTGCCACAATTCCTTTTCAGGGCTTTTCCTGGGGCCACAGTTATGCATTACACCTTACTCAGGACTGGGACTAATAGCTCAGTCTGATCCATAGTTTTCCCCAGTTGTGTAGTTCCCAGTACTCTGGTTGGCTCTGTGTATCTAACTTGCAGGGTCATCATGCAGTTATTTCTCAGCAACTGTACAGAATGTGAATCTCTGTACTCTGATTGGCTCACAACTCTTATTTGTTAAGATAAAGGTGAAGCAGAAGAATTCCAAAATGTAGATGAAAGAGAAGAAAAGAAAATAGGGTTGTGAAGCTGCTGGAAGGGAAAATGCTTTTTATATGTTTTAAGTCAATATAATAACTTGAGAGTTGCTTACTATTAATTATGTACTAAACAAAGGGTTCAACCTCAGAGTTTATATACCCAAAATATAGTCCTTGTGTTGTAAACAGGAATCACTCTTCAGTTACCATTGTGATATGACTATGGACCCAATCCTACATAACTTTACTCTTATAAATAATTCTTTATGCAGCCAATTTGAAGCCATGTCCCTGTCTTTTAAATTTGGATTAATCTTTCTTTCCTTTTAAAGGACCCACATATTTCTAAAGTACACCTGGGCCAGACTGTGAATTTTCATAAAAACGTTTCTCTTGAGGAGAAGGAGAGTGTTGTGTTAAGATGCTGCACTGGCATTTGGGAGAGGGGGATCAAAACTGGCGCTTCTACAAACTTCATGTGCAAATTACTTCATCTCTCTTTGCCTCAGTTCCCCATTTGTGAAATGGAGATAATGATACTTCCTTTCTCCTATCCTTTATCTGTCTTATCAATTTAATCCCCAGTCCTGCAAACACTTAGTAAACAAATGACTCATTCCATTGTACTCTGTTTCAATTGGACAACACCGTGCTTCAATTCACCACATGGAGGAGTGTCAGAAAGGCAAGGCCTTAGAGTGTATGTCCTTCAGGGCAGTGAACGTTTCTCTCTTATTATGTATTTGTACAGAGACTATCACAGTGAACTCCACTATTGGTTGGGGCCTCCTGACAATAATGTAATAAGATAATAAAATCATCATCATCAACTGTTAAGATTCAACCACGTTTTATTCTAGTTATTTCTTTTTCTTATTTTCTTAAATAACTCATTTATAAGTTTATTTTTAAGAGTCAAATACAAAGTTTTAGAAAATGACCATCTAAAGAGTTTTGTGAATTTAAATTCATCTTACCTCGGCAATCTCTCCCAGGTACACTGGGACTGAAGTCTGTGAATCCAGCCTGACACTGACAGGAATAAGATGGTCCACTAGCGTGGCATGTGGCATGTTCAGAACAGTCATCTAATCCCGTCTCACAACTATTTGTTTCTATAATGAAGTTGAACAAACATAAAAAGAACAACTCTTTAACTCATCATGGAAAAGCTGAAAGTACAATTAAATGACACAGTTCACTGCCAGTGCAGTTGTTTTCACATAAAGTCACTATCAGTGATAAACACTATAATCACTAAATATAAAGAAAACAGTTTGTATGAGCATTAGGCTATACCTTCTATAAGTGTACTGTTGCGGTCCGTTTGAAATTCTGTACTGTTGTTAAAGGCCTCTGTAAAAGCAGCTGTGAGCTCTGTTTTTGTTACATTTTCTCCTACATCCAAAACAATCATAAAGTCCACAAATATGCTGCCACTTCTAAGATTGTTGATTACTATACGCATTTTTCCTTCGTCTAGTAACCTTTGCATCTCAGGTGGCAAGTTTTTTCTTATCTGTAAAGTAAAAAAGTTTAAATTATTCAATTTTCCTTTCTTAAGGCAAAAAGTACCCTGCATTGTTCAATTCATTTGACAAGCATTACTGATAGTGGAACCAAATGCTTATAGAAATCAGTTCTACGACCTTCAAACATTTTCATAACTCTCATTTATTAATGGCAAATGGTAAAAAAACGCAAGAGTTGATAGGGTTAAAAACTGTTTGAGAAAGAGATCTACAAATCAGAGGTTGTTCCCACTCCCCTTGAGGATTGTAAGGTGTACAGGACTCTCCCAGTTGTCTAGGTCAGGCCCGTTCCCTTCAATGAACACTGGTTTAGAACAGCCTTTGGCCCTCAATTAAAACCAAATTGAAATCCCCTACTTTTAAATCTCTTCTTCCTGTCTCCCAAATTCTGCTTTAGTGGAAGCTTCTGAGTGGTATTTAAGTGTAGTAACAAATTAGCGTTTTCTGCAGTAATCCAGTTGGAAGGCCAAGAATCACTGTATAAATATGGCAAGACCCAAATGAACAAAATGTCCACATGTGTCTAGCCAAATGGAAATGGGAAAAGGCTCATCTTTTCACTGACACTATGCAGGAATCAAAGAACATGAAACTATCCATAGTGATGATTAGATACCAGAGTGTCATAAAAGAGCAGTTATTTGGGTTTGGGTTTATGCTGTTGGATACATGTTTTCCTCTCACTTTATTTTTCATTTGCTTGTTTTTAGCTCTGTCTAACCACAATGAAGCACATGCAATAAAAAAGAAAAATAGTAGAAGATCAAGTCCAAAGTCTACATATGCATTCACAATCTTTGGAAGTATGTTTACTACCAACACGTTTTGTATTTCAGTTATTGGAAAGACTTTAATAAAAAAGTTATGTTTAAAAATAAAATTTAGCAATTATATCACACTATTCATGTTCAAAGCATTTTACAAGCGCTAGCTGTGAACTTCCTTAACAAAGGGGGGGAGAAGCCCCTGCAATACAAAGGAACAAATGCCAGTGTTTGCACCCTTGCTACATTCTTCACCCTTTCTAGAAGCATCATCCCAATTTTTTCTAGATAGAGCTTTGACCAACTCACTCTCATCCAAGGCCCGACCTCATTTGGAAGTGGAAAGTGTAGAGAGTACACTATGTAATCTCACTATATCTCCTAACAGGCTCCTTCTGATGGGACGGAAACTCCAAAATCATGTTTGACTGACCCTCAGGGCATAGAAGTAATTGCTCAACACCACCCTTTTGGATCTAAGAGGATTAAACAAAGTGCAAGTCCATCTACCCCACTTGGGTCCACAGGGCATCGACAAGATCTGCCAATCTTTTGTTACAGTCTTTTGTTTGTTATGGCATACACACAGAGGAGTTAGATAAAAAACATAAAATACTCCTTCTGGAATATAGCAGTGTTACACTACTTTATTTCTCAGACTCCAAAACCCTAACATATAAGCACCAAAAATGGAGAAACAAAGCAGACTGCTCCCCTAAAACAGCGAGGCAGAACTCAACCCACCATGCTCTAGACTGGCTCTTTGCAGATTGACTGCTGAAGACTAGATTGCACATTTCCCTCCAGAGCTCCCTCAACTACAAGACAGACCAGTAAATTCCTTACAAATTAAAGTAATAGCTTATCATTTGGATGGTTAATATAACGTATCATTGAAATTAAAGGCTGCTGAGAGATTTAGGAATTAGAATAGCCCCCAAGATTGATCAATCCCTTGAAAGTGATGGTCAACCAAAAAGATTAGTGCAGTGTCTTGGTGTCCCAGGAATAAGGTCAAATTGAAGGGGGATCAGGAAATCTGAGGATGTCAAAGGACACAGAGATGCTTGGCCGAAACATTAGCAGTAAAATCACTTATTGGGAAAGATAGAGACAAGGCAATAATGGTCAAAACTTGTCTGTGTCAGGGGATGATTCCCTGATCAAGAGCATAATACCTGCTCACATGCAAGAAGTTGGTACCTTACCCTTCTCTAAGGAGGCACTGATGTTCTCAAAACAACAGGGACCCAATGACTCCCTACTGGATGTTGCTAGCCATAAGACAGGAAGTCACTGGTAACAGACTGCATTTCTCCCTATAGAAAAACTCTCAGTAAATGAAACTGGTGAGAAATTAACCAGAGAAGATTTCACATTTGCCTGCTGCTGGTATGACTCATCTACCTAGGAGGTGACCTAATCCAAATCTCATCAGTCTTATCCTCAAATAAGTAGATAATATTTCACAACAAGAAACACCTGATTCTGCTTCTGGTTAATGGCAATCCAGATTCACTATGCAGTCCAAACCTAAATTCAACATTCACTGGCATTTCATGGACACCCTGGTGGGAAAAAAAACCCATCACCTCTACCCCATCTCAGATCTCAAAAACTCATTCTCCTTAACTTCTCTCCAGAGTTAATACCACTGTGGGCCAGAGCGTCATTTAAACTAAGGCCCAATAGGGCTTTAGTGTAAATGAGAGTTCATGCATCACTGTGCAATAATTATCACTGGTGTTCTAATCTCCAACCAGTGTGTTCCATCCGTGTAGAACGCGTGTGAGCTGGTTCTCACATATATTTGGATTAGGAATAGTTCAATAGAAAACTAATTTTATTTGAATAATCCTGGAAATGATACCTCCCCAATGAACTTCTTTTCAAAATCCTTAAATTCTTCACTTGATTTGTTGTTATACTCAGGTTTGAAATTTTCATTTGTAATCCTGGTTTTTCCGTCAAATGTTTTAGCTTCTGTAAAGACATTGAAAAACAGTTCAGCACAGTGCTGCAAGAATGCACTTGTTACATGAAATCTTTTGGCTACCACCCAGATCAAACACAACATTGGCATGCTACCTTCACCCCAACTTCTGGGACATGTTGAAAGGTAAAAGAATTGTAAAGTAATCAAAATGAATGTGATCTATATCAATTTTTAAAAGGTTAACTAGAATGAATCTACCGTAAGCAGGAGAAAGTGGACCTGGATTCTACTGTTTGTAGTCAAAAGTTTGTCATATTGAATTATTTAATTAGAGCTAATAGCACAATAATAAAACTGTTACTGGGGTATGTTGGGTTCTTCACTGAAAATTTTAGGAAGATATACTTTGGTCAGTTTATTTTATATTCTATTTCAAAAATGGTTCTCTGTCTAAATACAAACTATAATAGCACTAGGCATAAGTTAATGTAGGCAGGATGTCTTCATCCACTAAGACACTCAATACTGTACTGTAGCAGGATGGACACCTGCTCCTGCCTGGAAGGGCCTGAGATAGCCCAGGGAGGCACCACAGGGGTGAGTCCGCTCCTCTACATGTGGTGGAGAATGTGGGCATAGCGGTCCACCACTGACACATGGGGCCAGAGCAAGGACTGTGGGACAGTTGCCCGAATCAGGAAGTGGATTAACTGACGGTGAAGAAGAAATGAGAGACTATTATTGGAGAGCCTGTGTGGCCCAGCTCGCCGAGCAGCAAGCGGGGCTGCTTCAGCTGCTGCGGGGGAGGGCACAAGGACCTCATTGGGGGCCAGGCACCTTGGGCAGGAGGCCGGTGCCAAGGCCAAGGAACTGTTGGGCCTGTGGGGAACCAGGACACTTGAAGAGGGAGTGCCCTTATGGAACTCATAGGGCCCAGGCGAGCGCTGAAGGAAGGGCTATGCCAGAGATAGACCATGGACAGACTTGAGTGCCCCCTGTGAAGCTAACAGGGGGGCTCCAATTGTGTTGGGCCTGTGGGGAGCCAGGGCACAAGAAGGGGGAGTGCCCTCACGGAACTCGCAGGGCCCAGATTAGCCCCGAGGTGGTCAGGGGTGGGCATTAGCTGTGCCTCCTCTGCCACAAGGGGCACCGAGGAAAATGGCCTAGCCCCCAAAGAAGGAGGGGGAGGCCGCAGAACCGGGCTGGGTCTGAGACTGCCCTGAAGGAGGGGGTGGTGATGACCAGGGCCCTAGAGAGGGGATTGTCAGGGGCAGGGAGGCCCCAGACAAACCTGGGATCCCATGGGGGAGCTGAGAAGGCTACCAGGGGAACCCAAACTCTGGAGGAAGGGAGCAGGCTGCTCCTTGCACTGGAGAGCCTGCGAGCAGAGAGGGATTCCCTGCGGGCCCAGCTGAGAGGAATGCTGAGGTGTTAGGGATAGACACCCCCCCAGTGGTGGGGATAGGGGGTGGGGGTTCCTCAGGGAGGGGAGACCCAGATCTGTGGGGTACTGCCAGGGGGCAGCATCCCAGTAATAGGGACACCAGGTCCTGGTAGGAACACAGGGGCCAGAAGTAGGGACAAGGCAGATCACCGGCCTGCAGAGGGCGCTCCAGATGCTGGATGAGCTGATTCCCCGAAGCAACCAGTAGGGGGCGCCGCAGGGGTGAGTCCGCACCCTTATAGATCTTAATGGGAAGTGTCTTCAATTCACACCCCAATTTGCTATCCTAATTTTGATTTCTGTTCTATTCTTCTAGGTAAGATATATATATTTCTTTATCAAATATATATATTTGAAACCTGTAATGTCAGATGGAAAATATCCAGAATAAAATATAACTTATCTACTGTATCTCTCTGTCTTTTGCTTAAGATATACCTGTATGGGCCAAATCTTTTCTTTACTTACACGTGTACAACCACACTAATGGCAGAGGGGTGGTTTATGTGTAACTGAGAGAAGAATGGCTGTCATGTCTTTCTATGGAATTAATGTCTTTCAGGGGCCAGTTTCCTTTGATTTGTCCCAGATTTTCTGAGTCATAGACATGACAGTCTCTGAGATTCAGTGCTACATCATTTAGGGCCCAATCCCAAAAGTACCCACAACTTTCATTGAAAGTCAAATGAGTTGAGGGTGATCAAAACATTACAAAATGAAACACTTATTTTTCTGTTCATTTGCATGATGTGATCACTACAAATGTAATGACTGATCCATCATCACTGAGTGCACATCTGGACTTCAGTGTCCATGATATGGCCAAGTCATTTCAGGATTTATCCCATTTATATCGAAGAGAGTTTTGCCTGAGTAAGGACTTCCAAATTTGGCCATATATGACTTACTGTAATAAAGAAAAAAATATTCAATAATGAAGGCCATACCTGTGCGAACTCTCTTTGAAGTATTGATCTTCTTAGCACAAGTTAAAACTTCCACAGATATTATATATTCATAACCAGGAACCAGATCTCCAAATGCTATCCGTGTTTTGTTCGTAGTGCTCTTATTCCTCACCGTGTTATCCCTCAACAGATATACAGTGTAAGGGCTATCTCTTGTCCCACCTTGAGGTGTCCAATTCAATTGTATCACTTCACTGGTTACTTTCTCAAGTTGTATGGAAAAAATAAGTGAAGCTATAAACAAAAAATTAAGTTGCTGTAAGTCATGGATTTGCTTATTTTCTGTGAGTCAAAAAATAAATCTTAGTTTTCAAATTCTTATTTTAGGTAAAACTAAATTATTTGCAGAATTTATAAGTTAATAAAATGCTTCAGTACAGTCTAGAAATAAAGATATGGATCATATTTGGTCTCAATATTTAAGTCACTACTATATTCTAAAATACTGTCTAACCTCTTATTTGTTACTGTAGCCTATTTGGCTGTATTTCATTTGTTTAGTATACAATGCTCTAAATCTTCTCAGGCAAGAGGCAGTAGTAGACACGTAACAGTTCAAAATTCTAATTTCAAAAGGTCCACATATTTCAACTACTGGATGAACATTCCCTACATGTAGAACAATTTCTGATTCCTTGTATGACATCTAAAAAAAATTATTTAGAATTTAGATGTTTCATTCCTAAAGCCACAGTTTATTGTGTTTGTTACTCACACTTTCCAATACAAACATATATATTTTCACAGGTGACGTCAGAATTTATTATTATATTTTGTTTTTCAATCTTTAGTAAAAAGCACAAATACACTTACTGCAAGTTCCTTGTGGTAATGTATTTTCTGTCATAGATGAAACAGTGCCAGCTTCAGGTGCTGTAATTCTAACTGTGGGCTTTGTATTCTTCGAGGAAGTATCTCCTGCTGTTACAATTGTAGCAACAATAACTGTGGATCTGCTAGTTAATGATGTCTTTGTGGGACTAGCAGAAATTATTGTTGGGGCTGTAGTTGGTGGGGTAACAGCTATGGTGGGTGTGGAAAAAGTAGAAGAAATCTGAGATATTGTAGTGTTCAGAACAGTGACAGGTATGACAGATTTAGGTGTTGTGGAGGACATCGTAACGGTTTCACTGGCATTTATCATGTCAGTAAGTGTAGAAATTTGGACAGTATTTGAAATAGAATTAGATTCAGATGAAGTTACAGATGTTAATGAAAATGAAGTGCCTAAACCAGTGAGGGCAGAAGAGAATATAGTTGTGGAAGATATTTCCGCTGGAGTGTGAGCCATAGTGCTTAGATGAGTCATTGGATTAGTTCCTACAAAAGCTGTACTTTTATCACCCAATTCAGAAGCTACAGACGCAGTA